TGTCATAAAAAAGTCAAAATTGTTTCATTAAAAAAAAATTGTCATGAAAATTTACAATCGTTAAAGATATAAGTTAATATAAAATATAACAAAATATTAAAAACGACAAATTTTGCAATTATTACCATACCAATTTTTGATATGTTTTTTGAACATCTCAAGACTTTTTACAGTCATGGTCTCATTATTTAAAGTGTTCCAAAGCGAGGTAGCTTTATATAACGTATAGCATGAATCATTATATATCGAGCCTTTAGGAGATAGAATGAGTTTTTTACTACATCGGCGTAAGATTTTTTAAAGTAAAAAGATTTTTCATAAATATTGGATATATAATAATAAACAATTAATGAATTTAAAAGTTTCAATCATAGGAAATCTCGAGTTTCTTAGATGGATTCTTGGACTACTATCAAAATTTAATAATTCATCCAGAGACAAATCAAATATTTTATAGACTATACTTAGAGCTTTTTTAAGCTTATATAATTCTATTTATTTGTTTGTCATCTTTTTTTGAACAAAACATCCAAGTTAGAGGACAATAAAAAAAGTTAGACAAAATAAAAGCATTAAACAGCAAAATAGATTTATTACGGGATAAAAAATTTCTTATGCGTGAAAGAGCGAAACATTTGCCATTAGCTTTACTGCATAACTGCTCAATGTGTTCCCCAAACTTTAGATCTTTATCAATTGTTATACCGAGTAATTTTACTTTATCGGAGGCAAAAACCCTTATATTACCTATTTTAACGATAAATTTATTGTGGTTTTCAAGCCAACTATATAAATTGGAACTTATCTAAATTAGCAACTACAGAGTTTAATTGAAACCAATTGATGGTATTGGTTGCTTCTTTTTGCAAACAAAAAATAAGTAGGAGATTTTTAGCTCTTTTATACTGCAATGAGCTATTTCAATTTTTTATTTAACTTAAGGCTCTGCGAGAGAAATCTTTTAAATTTTTTTGTTTTGTTTTGTTTTTTTGCTAACAAATTTAATCAAATTTGCTACATGAAAACAAAGTACACGGTTTTGCATAAATTAAGCAAGTATTGGTCAATTTTTAGTCTAGCACAGTTCATAAATTTTTGGTTGGATTTAAATCTGGTCTTGGATTTAAATCTATCTGGCTACTAAAGTACATTGATTTTGTTTTCTTTAAACTAAGCTATTACTGTTTTTGCTTTATGACAAGAAGCATTATCTTGCTGAAACATCGATTGAGTTTCATTTTCAAAAAAAAGACTTTTATTCGAATCAAACCTCTTAATGTATTTAGATTGGTCCATTCTATCAATGTACAAGTAGCATATTCCTGGTCCATTATTTAAGATACAACCCCATATCCCAACTGAACTTCCTCTATCCTGTAACCAAGGTATAATGAAACAATTATGAAAC